ACACCCCACCAACACTGGAAGGGCAAGCTACCATATATAGACAGAGAGCAAGCCCCACTCCATTTTAGCACTGAAGATGTTACCTAGCTGGGTAACAAAATGTTTTCAAGAAAACAACCAAGCTCAGAGAACCCCAAAGACTCTACTTGAGTTTAGATTCCATGTCTACCAGGACCTCATTGTCCTTTATCAACCACAGTTCTCAATTAAACAATGAATATTTATATGACAGTTCAAAGCTTTTTAATTAATTTTTTTAATTCACCATATCCATTCCCGTTAATCAAACCCAGCATTATTAGCTTCCGTGGGTTAAAAAAAATGTTATATTACACAAGGGGTGTGGCTGATTTATAATATTCCAACTTATGTAAATCTTGTGGTATTTTAATTTGATTAAGTAACCAGTTTGCTCCTTCAGATGCTATTGATTATTTATCAAATTGCATGATTTGTTATTTTAAAATAAAAGGAACATATATGCTATTTATTTTCATTATATTTTTGAAACTGCATTGTACTTAAATGAGTCAGTATCTGTATATTGTTGTTCTGATCTGTGTTTGTATGGGTGTTGCTGCTTCTTTAAATAGGATAGCATATTTAAAGCTAAATCTGTCATAAGAGTTCACAATTTGTATATCAGAAAATTTGCTTTGCAGTCATCCAATCCCTGAAGCACCTAGTTCACAACGCACATAGTATCGAACACAAGCGGCACTTTTTTTTTTTCAGTTTTATTATTTTGCAGCACATGAGAGCTTGTCGCCTGCCATTTACACAAAGTAAAGGTGATAAACACTCAGATTCAGAGGAATCCTATTTTCTACTTCAGAATGCAATGCATTTTAATGGATGTTGATTTTATGCTAAAGTCCAAACACAAGTTATTACTTTGCTGTGGATTTAATTTAGAATGCTGTTTGGTAGGGGAGTGAACATGTGGCTTTCCAAATGATTCTGAATTACATTTTTTGGACTTTGGCCATGCTGGCTGGAACTTTTGGGAATTGCAGCCCAAGAACATCTGGAATGTTAGACATTCCCTGCTCTTTTAGGAACCATCTCGTCCCCATTACATCGACCTGTCCCACCAGTCCAGCAGGAAGGGTATGTTATGGACTCCATCTCCTGGAGAGTTTCAGCTGACAGGGTCCAGGAGGAGACCCTTTCTGCCATGGCTCCTGCCCTCTGCAATATCTTGCCCCGAGGTGAGATTGGCCCCTACTCTGCTGGCCTTCCGAAAGAGTGTTAAGACCTGGCTCTGCCAACTTGCATGGGGACCCAATGGGGGTTCGCCACACTGGGGGTGGCTGGTAGCCTGAAGATGCTCTTTCCACTTTTTAGTTTGCATTGTAGTTTTAACTTTTTAGCTTAATTTTAACCTTTTGTACTTTTTAACTTATATATATGATTTTATAGGCTTTTTAAAATCTGTAATGCTGCCTAGACTCACCTGTATAGTAAGATGGGTGGCATATATAAATCTGATAAATAAATAAATAAATAAATAAACAAATAAATAAATAAAATACTGAAGAATGTTGAATGAAGTCAATCAGAATCAAATATATTGTTAAATTATATTGGGAAGAGGAAATTAAAGCCCCATAAATAAATCAAGGTGATCAATATCAAAATGATATTGCCACATATCTTTATTGCACAGTTTGAAGTGCACTGGGCTGATCTGGCATGTTTCTTAACATAGAGAAGGAGCTTAGGTCTTGTGGAATTGCTGTTACATTTGATCGTGTCTGAGTCTTGAGGTAAACCTTCAACCTAAAATGTATGTACTGTAGTTTTATGACATTCTTTAGTCTTTAATCAGAAAGGGAAATGATATACTTGCAAAAGTGGATTAGACTGAAAGTTATGGTTTAAAAAAAAACGCAATTCCTTGTTCAAATATTTAATAACAGATCTATGTATCAACGAAGTCTGTATTTCTCAACAGTAATCATAGAAAGGTTGCTAAAATAACAAGTAATACTTATTTGTGGAAATGTTTCTGACAGTTTTAAGATTTGTTAGGAACAAATATTAAAAAGTGTAAAATAGTTGAAAAATCAATGGAAAGTGCATTAGAAAGAAAGAAAATAAAAATTCATTAGCAGGGTTTTAGAACTTTTCTGGGCTGAGAACCATACTCAGCTTTGGAGCATGCCAAGGACAGTGCTCCATATGAAATGAATAGAGGCCAAACTAATTTTGTTTCATTTGTTATCTTTAATTAAAATTGAATATGTTAATATTACTCTCAGATATATATTTAATAATTTTTTTCCCTAATACATCAAGAATTATAGCTAAACAACAACGTTTACAGAACTCTGGGAGCTACAGTCCAGGTTTTCAAGGGCCACAATGAGTCTGCATCCTCAGTCTGTGCATCTATGATTTCTAGAATAATAGTTTGGAATGTTGATTATTGATACTTTTATTACTTACTGAAAACTATCTTTAAAATGTTTGTGTTCTAAATTTATATTAAGCATGGATATATAAAACATAAACAGTATAAATGAATGCATAAAATGTATAAAAGTGATACAGCATATTTTATATATTTTTATATATATATATATATGTATATATTTTTAGGATTATTTAATTATTCACAAGTATGGCAATGCTGCCAGGAAGGACCTATGGAATACACTATCAGAGGTAAAACTATTAAATATATTTCATGAATATGCGTAATTATTTTGTGGGCTAAGATTTATTACTTGACTTTGGGGCTAATATATGTAAATATTGTATACTAAAAGTGATACACTCAAAAGTTTAAAAAATGGTACCTAAAAAGGTACTTAATATGTACCTCAAAACCTGTGTATCTTGCTAGCACATTTCACTTACTTTTTGCCCTTGAAATTAGGGGTAAAATGTTCCAAGATGACTTAAACTTTCATTGCCTGATTTTAGAAATTGTGATGGACTCAGATGAAGAACATGAAAAATAGGTAGTCTTTGTTCATTCTTCAGGTTTAGGGTTCACAGAAGGTTCACATGTTACTCAGCCATTACAGTTAGAAACGTTGATAACATAGAAGCAGAATGCAGTCTCATACAAGCTGAAATTTGTTCATGCAAACTTTTCTCTCCTGACTCCCCCTCCCCCAAATTTGCTCCTTGAAGTCCTTCCCACGCAGAGTTTGAACACATGTAAAGGATATTGGAAGAGGGGGACTTACTTCTCTGCTGGTCCTCTCCTAGAAGAAATTATTTTACCAGAGCCAGCATATTGGAATTTACATAGAGCCTGTAACATGTATTTTAATTGAAGTAACATAAATTAGAAATGGAACCTGGATTGGAATCTATTGAAATGAGAGAAGTCATGCCCTGTATGATTATCTGGGAGGATTTTGAGGCTGTGGATCCCTAGCAAGTGGACAGGATTCTCCATGATCTAGTCCTTCCACTTGTGCATTGGGCCCCTGTCCCATCTGGCAGGTGAGAGCAGCCAGGGAAGAGTCAGGTCTAGGATATCATCAAGGAGGAAGGGGAGATTTCAGCACCTCTGAGAGAGATGTTGCTTTGCCCACTCCTCAAGAAGCCAGATCTTCATCTAGTGGAAAGAAACAACTGCCATCCATTCTCCAAATTCCCTTTCTTGGAGAATATTGTGGAGAAAATAGTAGAGCTACAGTTATTGGAGGAAATCGATTAGCTGGGTTAGTTGGACCCATGGAACTCCAGATTCAGACTCAGGCATGAGAAGAAACTGTATTGATCTCTTTCATAGATGTCCTGTGGACTTAGATGGAGGGAGCATGACCATTGTTTTCTGAGAACTTTGACTTCTTTTTCATGATAAAATCTGCCCACCTGACCCAATCAATCAAAGAACACATGCTCAGACCCCCACCTACTAGGAGATGTACCAGTTCTCTGTAGGCATGTCTCAACTTAGTCTCTGAGGTAAGGATGGTCTCCCATCCTTGAGAAGACCATAAAAATGTGGCTTTTACACAGGGCCTTTTAGGATTGATTCTAAAGCCATCAATGTAAAAGTGTGTGTGTGTATGTGTGTGTTATAGTATTGTTGTTGTTATATTTTATTTACTGTAAACTGCCTAGAATCCAATTGGACTGAGGCAGTGTATGAATTCCATAAAATAATTAAATTTATTCCCAATCCAAACAAACTCTGGTGGGGTATAACAAAGTCAACACAAGAACAGAACAGTAAAAGATCACATATATTTAACTAAAACCAACAATAGAAATCTACTATATTATAGGTGCCATTCAATCAAACTGAAGTAAAGGACAAATGCCCACTGGAACAAAGCTTTTGGAAGATTTGAAATACCTGTTGAGTAGGGACTATCCATTAATAGTATCAAATACTATGGGGGAAATGTCAGGGTGTGAAAATAAATTTTTAAGGTTTTGTGAAAGCATGCTGAAGAAGTGGCAGATAGAACCAAAAGAAGAAGGGAATTCTATAGTGGTAGAGCCACCATCAAGAAACCCTAGTTCTGGTAATTTTTATATAGGCCTCTCCTGGGACAGCACACATGATAGGTCCTTAGATAAAAATCATAGGTCCCATAAAGCAATGTATGGGGAAGTCATTCCTTTAAATTAGTGGTATTTTTGATAACCATAATAATGTAGATCAGCTCCAAAGAGCAGAGTAAACCAGGTAAAGAGATCAGGAAAATAATCCAAATTTCTTTTGTAACAACTTGCTCTTTCAGAAGAAAATTGAACTGCTTTCACTGCACTTAAATTTGCATCAGCATTATTCGTGCTGTGTTATAGCTGTGCTATAATGTGTTCGAGTTTAACACATTAATATAAAAACTAAAGTGGTGACTAAAGTTGTCAATATGGTTCTGTTTCAATTTTCCATCTAATGTTAATGTTGCAATTAAATTAACAATCAAGACTTCATCTCCAATCCTTCTTAGTCATTACGGTCATTATAAAGTAGAAATAGAGGACATAGGTGCTTCAGATGTTGGTGAACTACAGCTTCCAACAGCCCCAGCCAGCACAGCCAATGAGAAAGTAGCTTGGAGTTGTAGTTTAACAACATCTGGCGGGCCACAGACTCCTTACTTCTGGGATAAAGCAAGTGAAATAATAGTTTTCTTACTGTTACATTTTTATGATTGGAATTCAATGGATGGAATTCTATGCATACTTACTTGAATGTTAGCCCATTGAACTTAATGGAATGTATTTCCAAATAGTGATATTAAAGTAGATAGTAGTGCTATTGCTACATAGATTTTAAACAAGCTTAATATATCTCCATAGATTACGAATACTTTATATAAAATTATGAATACATTTATGAATATCCCCCCAAACCTTTTATTAAAAGAGACAATGTGATAACAGTATTGTTTCAGAAAGGAGATTTGTACATTTTTTGTTTTGAAGGCACTTAAGAAGGTTGGGAAATTTGTGAATATCCAAGAAGTAATGGATCAGTGGACACTCCAGATGGGTTACCCTGTTATCACCATCATGAGAAATGAAAATACAGACACAATTATAGGAATCTCTCAAGAGCGCTTTATTTATGACCTTGATAAAGATCCTGGCTTGAGAAACAACAGGTATTTACATTTTCTGGTATACATACTATACTTTACAACTGTTTTTATACCACTGCTAAAGAAGCAGAAATATCTACATAGAATTGTGAATAATACGGTGATACCACAGTATGCCTTTGCTGCTTCTAAAGAATATCATTATATGCACTATCTTAAAAGATATTGAAATAGTATTGTCAGCATCTACATCTTTAGAAAGATGCAATTACAGATTTAAATTTATGTCTGGAAATTTTCAATAATATATAGTTTTAATGTATTCAGTCATCTTTTTCTTTATGCTTTTCTATGTCAGTGGGCTAACACTGAGGAAGAACAATTACTCGAAATCAGAAAAGAAAACCTTTCTTGTTTTTCAGTTCTGAGTTTACACTTAATTTAGCAGAGGTATGTAACTAATAAACAAGTTCAAATCTGTTAAATGGGGCACTTAATTATTTAATTTAAAAATACAAACTTAATGATGAGAAAACTTACATGTTAATATGGTACACATAACATTGGAAGTTTACAGAAATTAATGGAAATGTCTTGTCTAACTTATGGCATCATCTGTATGTCTATACATTAATAGCAGCTGGGGGGAGACACTGAGGCCACGGGGGAAAGTACACTTAAAACTTTCCTTTCAATCTGCCACTGTTTCAATCTGTTTACTTCCATGACTGCCTTTTTTTTTTTAATGTGTATTTTAATTACTTACACTAGAACCTAATGCATCATGGAATTCAAATTTCTAAGAAATTGTGCTGATTTTGATTTTGCCAAAATTGTAGAGCTGTATGAGCACAAACTGTTTTATTAGCAGTGGGTGGTGAGTGGGAATGGAAGATAATAGGCAGAAGGAATCTGCAACCTTTAATCTGCATTCCACTTTTCGTATGAATTGCATAAGGAAGCAATTAAACTTTCACTACTTTAATAAGCCTTTAATGCCTTTATGACCAGAGTAGCTGTTACATCAATTTCGATCTTTCTATCAGACCTATTTGCATGCCTGTTAATTACTGCAGTAAATAACTAGTGGAAGAGGCAATTGTTTTCTTGCTTGTAATAAGGCAGGGGATTGCCTCAGAAATTACTGTTCGCATACAAGATGACACACCAATCAGCAAAGCAGATATTTATAAAAACGAGTGACTTTTCTAAGATTAGAACAAACAGGGAAGCAAAGCAAAATTCATTATGCAAGGACTTTCCTGTCTGCAAGCCATATTTCCATGTACATTGCCATCACTTGCTGGCCATCTTACTAATTCCCTTATAATGAAACAAAATGAGGCTGTCTTTAGCTGTTTCCATTTCTTTCCACAAGTGTGTATGTTCTGTTAGTTTTGCTGTTGTTAGTAATGACACTACTAGTGATGACACTACTACTTCATTTGTTTTATTTAGCACTGTTGCTTTGTTAGTGACAGCACCACATCTATACAAGAAAGGGGGTAGCAGATATTCTTAAATGATAAGCATAACAGTCATCAAATTACTGATCTAATCCTGCCATGAGCTGTGATTTTGTGAAAAATGTACCAATTAAATCTCTCACTGCCATTCTTCCCATTATTTTGAAAGGCCAGTCTCAATATCTAGCCCTGACTCAGGTTTTTCCTAATACTAATTTATTAAACTTGTGGGCTGTCCAACTCTAAATGACTCTAGGTGGCTTGTTCAAATTTAACAGAGAAATTGAATGCAGTGAAAAAGAAATGCATCGTGTTTTACCCATGCCCTTTTATTTTCATAAATATACAGAATATTAGAAATGATTTAATATAAAATAAGAAACAGCATAGGAATAAAAAGATAAAAATGAGTTTAAAACATTGTTCATTTGAAATCATTATTACTTAGAGAAGAATGTGTGCACAATTTTAAATTAGGAATAGGGTATAATTTGGGGATCTGTTTCCAAAATGTAACACTCATTGCCCATTTCAGCGTGAACTGATTTTAAAACCTAATAATTTTTTGAGCTTTTCTTCACCAATAATATGGGGCAACACAGATGTTACTATATTAATATAAAGAGACACTGGCATAGTGATCCATTGACCTGACTCCCTTTGCAATTTAGTGTAGTTTGAGATTGTTGTATGTATTGTGGAATGAAAAAAAACAGGATAATGTTTCCAAAATATTTTGGGGTGGAACAAGCCAGCTTCACAGAACAACAAAAATTGGAGTTTTTGGGCTAATTCACAATTCTAAGTAATTAATGAACCCAAACTATTAAATCTAGCAAACAAATATATAGATAAATAAATTTAACAATATTAAAAATAATCTAAGCACCTACTGGTTATGTAATAGGTTTTCTGCAGTATAGTATCTATTACTCACATGAATTAACTACTATCCAGAACTATTATTTGATTTTAGATTTTATTTACTTATTTATTATTTAAATGTATATGGCTGTCTGCTGGACACATGACTCTGGTTGTCTTAACAGTCAATTTAAAAATCCATAAATAAAAATTATTTTAAAACAGCACATTGCATTCAGAGTGACTCAGAAACATACAATCACAACATCATGATAGGCATATCCAACAACCTGGTCCATTGCCCAGGGAAGATTTGTGGTTTCTTACCGTAATACTTTTATTATTGGAAAATATTTTGCCTCTAAGATGTTCAAAGGTTATAGTTATTGTTAAAAGTCAACTTTTTTATGGCTTGATTGATGATGAAGCTCCTTTTGAATGGGAAGTGAGGTTTTGCAGAATTCTTTAGAATTCCATCTTCAACAGCCTTAAAAAGTTCTTTATAATTATTTTGCTTATATTTTAGCATTCTTTCTTCTTCTTCTAGAAAGCAGTTAGGTTCTAGAAAACAAAAATGGGAAGGGAGAAATTGAGAAAGAAGTCTGTCTCAGAAGATGTCAGCAAAAAAATATTGTAGTCGAAATGTTAAAGAGACTTGAAGGCTTCCAGTATCAGAGGCACTTCGTATTCTTTATAGAGGCTTTCTTTTGTATCTCACTTCATTTTCTCTATGGCTGCAATAAAGTGTTTTGAGCAGCCATCAAAGCAGAGTAGCTCTGTGTGACTGGAAGGAGTACAATTGAGAAAAATTAGCTATGCTTTCCATTTGCTAAGATAAACCAAATATTATGTATTTATTTAAATTTATTATAGCCCCCCACTCCCCACAGACTCTAGGCAGTGTATAAATACAAAAACAATAAAACATACAACACCACAGGCATCCTGGACTAAAACAATCATAGCAATAACAAACCAGACCAAGTTTACCCCACAAACACATTAACCCCAGGCCTGAGACCAAAGCCAGGTCTTAAGAGCTTTTTGGAACCCCAGAAGGGAGGCCACAGTCTGTATCTCTGGGGGGATGCTGTTCCAGAAGGTGGGGTGTGAAATAGAGAAGGCCTGCTTCCTTGATCCCATAAGATGACACCATGTAATAGAAGGGACCTAGAGCATTCCCACTCTGCTGGAACATACCGGGCAGGCAGAAACAGCTGGAGATAGGTGGTCCCTCAGGTATCCAGGCCCTATGCTATAAAGGGCTTTATAGGTAACAACCAGCACCTTGAATTGTACCTGGAAGCTGACTGGCAACCAGTGCAGCTCACGTAGCAGCGGTGACAGATGGGCATACCAAGAAGCACCCATTACTGCTCACACTGCTGCATTTTGTACCAGCTGTGCTTCCAGATGGTCTTCAAGGGCAGCCCTGAGTACATGGCATTGCTGTAAGCCAGTTGTGAGGTGACCAGGGCATGAGTGACTCTCTGAAGGGCGTCTGTCTGAAGTGTTAGTCATAGACACTTGTTTCAGTCCATCACTGCAGAAAGAATTATGGCAGCATAGAAGAAGTACTTGCTGTACTAGTGTTTGTTTGTTTACCCCAGGCCAGCAATTCTATGGTTATTGTTAGTCAGAATGTCATTAGAACCCAAGGACTTGGGAGTCAGGAGTAAATCATGACAATAACTCTCATCTATTTGTACCCAGGGAGCTAATGGCTCAGTATCATTACAGCTGTCGAAGTCAGCAAGGGCTCCTACAGAGAATAGACGTCAATGTGTGCAGAAGTACTCAGTGCCACTATTTATTTATATTTGGCCATTGGCAAAACATTTGTAACTACAATAAATGCAGAAAGCATTTGTCTAAGTCTAGACAAATCATGTACACACTGTGTGAATGCTAATATAATTGCTACTTAAGTAGGGTGACCATATGCAATAAAAGCCTCCCTGTGTACAGACATTGTTTTACTTTGCCCATTTATGTCACTATCTACTAGGTCATGGGAATGGATAGGGTGAGATCTGTTTAATACATTAATATTGCATATATGCATAGAACAGACCTAAGTCTTAATAATGTAAAATGGAATGCTTTGCCTATTTTTATACTATTTTGTTGAGCCCTGCTGTATCATATTATGATTGTAAATTATTTATAAATTTAGTATGGTTCCTGAAGGGATGCATACTATTGTAAGAATAACAATTCTGTTTTTTAATAATTTCTTTTTAAAGATCCTTGAGATAATCCAGTTGTAAAATGTGCTGCTCTAATCATGTTTGTTCTCTGTCATCAGTGTATTGCCTAAATGCAGCAGCCTGGTTTATTTTTAGATGGAATAGAAGGAAGTAAACTATAAGGCTTGCAAATACCCATGTGAACGTCAGGTTCTGTAGATATCCCCGTGTTTTTACCTATATTTTCAAGCGCCTTTGCTGATGTGATGTAGATAATCTTCCATAACATGAGGAAATCTTCCGATTCACACATTACAAAGATGCATGTTTACAGCTAATTTATTTAAAAAATTATCAAAATGTATGTTGAGAATAATGTCAAATCTAGTTGGAAACGGTTGACTCTGGTAGAACATTTCTATAATATTCATCTCAGAAAATAAGATGTTACGTGTGTACGTAAATTTATCAGTAAATGCTGCCAAGCCAAGATATTCTCTCTTTGCAAAATAATTTACTTTGTAGCTATAGCAATCATTATTTT